TTACAGTATGTTCAGTCTGCTCCGCTCAAACACTAATGTCCCCGTGACCACTTTGCAGCTCTCTGATTGGTCGCTGCACGAGCGTCCCAGAAAAAATTAAGCAAAACGTATCTCCTGCGTGCGTAAATTTTCCGCTCTTGCGCCTCTGCTGCGCAGTCCGTGTGTCGACGCACATGCAGTTCCACGCTCGAACGCACGTCACCATTGACTTTGCATTGGAAGTGGCCACAACATGATCCGGTCTGAACGCCCCAGAAGCAGCAAGTAATAATTATAATAATAATAACTATAATGATAATAATGATAATAATGATAACAATGCATTAGTTTTGTATCGCACTTTTCAGAAACTCAAAACACTTCACTGTACAGGACACATTCAGACAGAAACACACACACACATTCAGACAGAAACACACACACATTCAGATAGAAACAAACACACACACACATTCAGACAGAAACAAATACACACACACATTCAGACAGAAAAACACACACACACACACATTCAGACAGAAACAAACAAACACACACACACACATTCAGACAGAAACAAATACACACACACATTCAGACAGAAACAAATACACACACACATTCAGACAGAAAAACACACACACACACATTCAGACAGAAACAAACACACACACACATTCAGACAGAAACAAACAAACACACACACACACATTCAGACAGAAACAAACACACACACACACACACTCAGACAGAAACAAACACACACACACACACACACACACACTCAGACAGAAAAACACACACACACACACACACACACACACAGACACACACAAAGCGTGGACTGTTGGTCAGAATTAAATGGAGGCAGATCCGAACGTGTCGTCCGTGTTGGAGGATTGTATTGTGTCAAGTGCAGAGCAGGTGCTCATACTTTATGGCAGTGTCTCCCAAAGTGGGGTCCGCAGCCCCCTGGTGGCCCACCAGGGTATTGCAGGGGGGCGCGAGAGGTCATCAAAAAATATATTTAAAAAAATATATAATTATTGTATGTAAAATTAAAATGTAAAATTAATAATATTTTGTTTGTAATATTAACACATTTGTGTTCATTATTTGACCTGAATAATCAAATTGTAATATTTTTTGTATCACAAAGTGGGGTGCGTCATTTATATGTTTGTAGCAGAGACTGTTTCCCCCAAAGAAAACAAGAGCCTATTTTTAACGTTGTCTTCTTGGTTATTATTTCAGGAGCCGCTCGGACCCGTCGGATTTTTAAGGGGACCGCGGTGTTACTGACTTTGAGAATAGCTGATTTATGGGAATGAATCCAACGTCTGTGTGTGTGTGTGTGAGAGTGTGAGTGTGTGTGTGTATTTGCAAATGTGTGTGTGTGTGTGTGTGTATGTGTGTGTGTATTTGCAAATGTGTGTGTGTGTGTGCTTGTGTGTGTGTATGTGTGTGCGTGTGAGAGTGTGAGTGTGTATTTGCAAATGTGTGTGTGGTGTGTGGCCGTGGAATTAAAAAGGCTGTAATAGTTTTACCTGAGCCAATGATTTTTTCGATTTTGATTCTGGAGGCTTCGATCTCTCGGGCAAACTCGTGGACGGCCTGGCAGGGGTCCTCGTAGGTGTGAGGGTCGATGTAGAACCTCGCATCAGGGAACGACACTAAGATACACAACATTAGTGTTTGGTCACATGGCAGAGACACTTAGCCTTGTGTGTGTGCGTGTGTGTTTGTGTGTGTGTGTGTGTGTGCTTGTGTATGTGTGCGTGCGTGTTTGTGTGTGTGTACTTGTGTGTGTGTGTTCTTTTTCTAATTTCTACCGCAGCCAATACAAAACTGTCCACAGTGTAAAAGTACTTTAACACTTTGCATCTGGAGGATTGGGCTCCATGTGAATATAAACAGGAGGTAGATTAAAAACATATTGTGGAAGCAACGAGTAACACATGTATAAAGTTAATGAAGTCGTCTCATGTCTGAGGTTTAGACGGTTCTCAAAACAGAATAAGACAAAAGTGTAAAGAAGTGGGTGGTAAAGTAATATCTTACTTTACACTTTTGTATATTATTAACAACCTTCTAAAGCACGAGTCACGTTTTACAAACATGTGACATTGTTTTGATTTGTTTTGGTTAAAGTCGTAGAACCAAACTTTCCATAAATAATCATAAAAAAACAAGGAATCAGAGCACATTTAATTTCACTTTCAGTCTGACAGAGAACACCACTGCATGTGTTTTAGCCCCTCCCACCACCAACCATTCACACACCAGACTCATTCTAATGTGGGGGAAGTGTCTTGCCTAAGGACCATAGACTGTATATATTAATGGACAGAGTCACGCCTATCTCCGCCGTTCTAACTAATGGGCCAAAAAATGTGCTCTACTGGAGCAATCCAAAATGGCCGCGAGTGGTCCCGCCAGGGACGTGCAGTCAGGGGAGTCAGGGGAGGCAGAGCCTCACCTGCCATTATTGGAAACTAATAATTATTTTAGTTTAAATATATAATTTATATCCACTGTCCTATGCTTTTAATGTATATTCGGCACGGTTCCCATCAGTTTTGATCATTTCTGAAGTCAAAATCGCCGAAATCCCGTTATTCCTATTCAAAGAGACGAGGTGAGGCAGCGCTCCTGCGTGCCTCACCTCAGACCGCTCCCTCACAGTGTGTGTGTGTGTGTCTGAGTGCACTCAGCTCGTGCAGTTGATATATCACCGTTTGTTTCAAATATCCTGCTTTAAAAACATTTTTTAAACTCCTCTTAGTGTTTAGTAGTGTATTGCACGTATGTGTGTACAATTTATATTTAGTTTAAGTCTTTTGATCGTAGATGAACACACAAGGAAAAAGCTTGGCGTGAGGCAGGCGGTATCTGTGCCTCACCGCTAGGGGTGATAGTGAGCATAAAGTTCATACCAGAGTTGCTAACAAACAATCAGCCCAAAATGCTATTTCTTTTGCTGGAAAATGGATGATTTGAATGAAGATTTTTTTTCTCAATTGGACTTTCAAACAAAGAAAGAATTAATATAGACTGGGAGACCACCACTGGACTTACGAGGTTAGTCCGGCTGCGGGGGAGGAGTTTGTTAATCTGTGTTTTATGTTGAACATTGACAGATACCGGCAAAGTAGTGCTTTTCCGAAAAACACTGATTCAAACACTGCTCAAGAGTTCTGCAACTTGTTTAAATTATTGATTATGTTCCTCGCGTCTCTCTCTCCTCGCGTCTCCGTCTCTCTCTGCTCCTCTCTGTCTCTCTCTCTCCTCGCGTCTCCGTCTCTCTGCTCCTCTCTGTCTCTCTCTGCTCCTCTCTCCTCGCGTCTCTCTCTCCTCGCGTCTCCGTCTCTCTCTGCTCCTCGCGTCTCCGTCTCTCTGCTCCTCTCTGTCTCTCTCCTCGCGTCTCTCTCTCCTCGCGTCTCTCTCTCCTCGCGTCTCTCGCACCTGCGCTTCTTAAAGATGTTGTTTGATGCGGAGCAGAGTCAGCAGCTAGATTTGTTGTGAGATTATTAAAAGAAGCTGGTTCTCTTATCTTTACAGTATATAAAGTTTGTGGATGTCATTGCATTGGTGATTAAATGCTATTTTATTTGAATAATGATTGTAAATCTGACTTTTAAAGTCAGTGCCTCCCCAATCACAAACCTCACCGCACGTCCCTGGGTCCCGCCCACAAGAAAATTGTGAAAAAAACGCATCTGCGCATGCGTCAGCCGGAGCAGCTCCATTCATTTGAACGAGAGACTTCAATAACTCACAGCGACTAAACTAGACTGGTCCAGAACACTCAGCATTGACACACATGTGGAACGGAGCTTTGGGCCAAGAGACAACTTTTGGACCATCCTGTAAAGACGTTTTTGAGAGGTCTGCTAACGCTATATGTTAGCATTCTACTTCTGGGTCCACCCCCACAGGCCCGGGGTGGTACTGCAGCATGTCAGCGCACGTCATTTTTGCCACTTTTGAGCCGGGACCCTCCCCCACTGCTAAGGACACAACCACAGTTTGGCACTTTACAGCCGCAGCCGCCCCACTGTGGCACCTGCTGTTCAGAAGTCTCCCATCACAGTACTAACCAGGCCCTGCCCTGCTTAGCTTCAGAGGTCTAACAGGATCTGGCTTTCACCTGCAGATACACCACTGAATCAGATCAGAGCTGGGTTCTGAGCGGGTTCTGTCTCAGGTCCTGCCTTTGAAGCTTCCTGTGACTCCCTTTTTACAAAACCACCTTTAGAAAACAACTGTGTGTGACTTGTTGAAGTTTTGTAAATAAAGATTTTTGAATTGAATGTTGTTTGTGTGTCTGTGTCTTTGAACAAACTGCTGTTGGATCCTGCTCAGTTCATTCAAGTGTAAACAACAAGACCAGAGTAATACAGTCGCTATAATCTGTATTTGTTATGCTCTAATGTATTGTGTTACCGTGACTCGATGTGTGTACCCTCAGACCGTGACGCTGTGTTAATAAAGTTTGGTTTCAGGATGAGGTGTGTTAGACGCAGATGAAGAGAAACTCACCGTGACCGTTCTGATAATGCATCTTCTCCTCGTCTGAGTCCTGGAACGCTTTACTGTAGCCACAATGTCTGTAGGAACACACACATGTATACAAACACACACACACACACACACACACACAGACATACACATATATACATACATTTACACACATACACAAATGTACACACACAGACACACAAACATACACATATACACACAGCCATATATGGACATAGACATACCCATATAAGGGCATACAAACACACACACACACAGACACACACACACACACACACAGACACAGACATAGACACACACACACAGACACACACACAGAGGCATGAATACAGGACAACACAGAAAACCTTTTTACTA